AAACAAGTTATTTCACCTGCATTTAGTGAGGAGTTATTCAATAACAAAGCAGAGATAGAAAAAAGATGGAAGAATATGAAAGAAAGACATTCACACCACCATAAAGACGTTAAGTATAATGCTGATGAATACAAAAATGATCCATTTTTCCAAAGAGAATTAACAAAAGAAGGACAAAGGTCGATAGTTGAATTATTCCATAATGCAAATTGTCAGAAAGATGAGTTAGATGAGCATATAAATTGTTATCATGCTGCGATTTATGACAATTATGCAGGAAAAGATGGAGATTTTAGCTATGCACGATTGAGAGCACATATATTGAGTGATCCAGAAATAATTGAAGGAAAAGATGGGAAACGGCTAGTAGTTCCAGTGACGTATTTTATTAATCCAAAACCATCAGTTGATCAAAGTGGACAAAAGATAGAGAAAATGATAGATGAGAAAAAGTATTGTGTCTCAGCTATTTGTATTATTGAGCCATCTACAGGAAAGATTATTTCATTAACAACTATTGACTTAACAGTGATGAATTCACGAGAAAGTGCAGCACTAATCAGTGGGATTGAAAGTATAGGGAAATATGGAATACCAGATACAATAATTGTTGGAAATACAGCAGGAAGGATTCATCAAGTTTCATTAGAGGATGGGAAAGTAAAAGATCCACAAGGATGGCCACTTCAAGTTGGACCAATCATGGGGAGAATTGTAGTTGAAGATGTAACACGAGATGGAGAACTAAACATTGTGACAGGAGATATTAATGGGAATGTAGTTTGTTTTGATATGACAGGAAGAGTTAGATGGGAAATGAATGGAGGAGGAGGAATTAACCATGGGATAGAAGTACTTCGATTAGTTTTAGGAAGAAAAATAACAATGCTAATGTTTGGAACGAATAATGGAAAGATACATTGTTTAGATGGAAGTACAGGAAAGAACATAGATATATTCCCTATTACACTTGGTAATAGTAGTATTGTTGGACCACTAGGAGTATTTAGAGATGGAGAAAGTATTAGTGTTAGTGTCTCGACAGGAAATGGGAAATTTACAATTATGGAAATGAGAATCATAAGTGAAAAAATAAGAAGAGACATGAGACTAATGGAGGGATTGAAGATAGGAGCAAAGATAGGAGGATATGATAGTAAAATAATAAAAGCTCAAGAGAAGTCTGAAATCCTATTATTTACAGGAAGTCATTCAATAGATATAGATGATATTGTCTATAGTAAACCAATAAGAATCATAAGAAATAATGGGAATAATATTAATCAAGAATTATTTAAAACGTCAAAAATATATAAAAAAATTGGATGGGATAAAATGAAATGGGAAAAACGAGTAGAAGAAGTAAAAAGACAACAAGAAAAACAAAAGAAATATGAGATGATAGTAGCAAATGAATTACAAGAAGAAAATAGTAAATCATATATAATTGGAACTAAGAATGGAATGGTACTATGTGTAGATATGAATAGAAAAAGAATGGAAATTGAAGAAACAAGTAATATAAGAGGAATATATATTAAAAATATAGATATAAGAGAAAAAGAAGCAGTTGTAATAGTTGAATATGAAGAAGTAGGAGATAAAGCATATAGAATTTTAATAGAAAGTAGTGATGGACAAAAGAAAGAATATATGAAAGAAAAATTAGAAGAACATACGTTAATGAATATTGAAGGAACTGTAGGAATAACTACATATTCATTTGTTGTTGATATTCCATCAAAACCACAAACAATAACAATGAAAATTATTGGATATAATTCAAAAGGAATTAAAACAGAAAGTACAATAGAATATTCAGTACATACAAAGTTTTATGAACATATTCCAGAAATGATTATTATACCATTCTTTATATTGTGTTTAAGTGTGATTTATTTATTAAAAGAATATTGGAAAATACAAGAAGTGAATGAAGAGCAAAATACACATAGTATAACACAATAATTGACTAAAATTGAAATAACATTTAATTTACTTTTTAAATAAAAAAATAAAATAAAAACTTATAAAAACAAAACAAGTTATGAATTTATTTGTTGTTCCTTCAACATATCCTGAAATCCATAAAACAGATTGTATGTATTGTCCTGTATCTATTGGGACGCAAAACAATGACAAATTATATATTTGTTTAATGGATGGACAAAGTTTTTGTGAAGAATGTCTTCATATTCATCAAGAAGTTAGTGGGCATCAATTATATTTAGTCATTCATGAAATACAAGAAAAAGAAGAAGGGGATTTCTTTAAAGAAAAGAAAAAAGAATATTGGATTGAAAAAGAAGAAGAAAATAAAGAAAGAATCAATATAGAAAGTCTTGAAGAAGGAAAAATAAAAGATTATATTAAATATATTATTGGAAGTATAGGGGTTGAAAAAAAAGTTAGTGAAAGTGAAAATAGTAGAACAAGAATATATACCGAAAATATTCAACAAATTGCAAGAAGTAAAAAGTTAGATTTAAATAATATTCAATGTGAAGAAGAAGGATGTGATATTAAAGACAATCTTTGGTTAAATTTAATTGATGGAAGTGTATATTGTGGGAGAGAACAAATGATGGTTAAAGGACATTCACATGCATTAAAACATTATGAAAAGACAAAAAGACCATTAGTTGTAAAGATAGGAACAATTAGTAGTGATGGGACAGCAGATATGTATGACTATAGTAAGGATGAAGATGTTAGAGATCCATTATTAAAAGAACATTTAGGATTTTATGGAATAGATATTAGTAAGTTAAGTAAGACACAACTAAGTTTAGATGAAATTGCAAAAGAAGCAGCATTAAAGATGGAAAGAGAAAGAATTGAAGAAATAGGGGTAGAACATAAATTATGTTATGGTCCATACAAAACAGGGATTAGAAATAGTGGAAATACATGTTATGCAGCAGCAGGTGTTCAAATGATCTTTGGAATTACTGAAGTAAGAAATAAATTGAATAAAGAATATCAAAATTTAATTAGAAAGAATTGGAAAGGAATTGAATATCATATGACAACTCAAATGGCTAAATTAGCACAAGGATTTATTTCAGGAAAATGTTCAGAAGAAGAAGAAAATACAGGAAGTCAAGTTGGAATGAGTATTATTGGATTAAAACAAGGATTAGGTCATTATTATCAGATGTATAAAACAAATGAACAACAAGACAGTAGTGAATTTGTTCTTCATTTAATTGATAGGATGGAACAAGAAGGATTTAAAGAAATTGAAGAAAATTTAGAAGTAATAATACGAAATGAAATTAAAGGAGAAGGAATGAGTGTTAATACAACTAGAGAAAAAATAATAGAAATGGGACTTGATGTTCCATATATGGTTTTAATAGAAAGAAAACATATTGATTTACATATGGAAGATATTATTAAAATGTATGGAAGTATAACACCAATTGAAGGGTATCAAAAGAATGGAAGATATATTAATGCAACTAAAAGAATAAGAATTGGAAAATTTCCAAAATATCTTCTTATTAAATTAGAAAGACAAATTGCAATAAGTTATGAAGATGTAAGAAAAGTAGATGCAGATGTATTTGGAATGGAACGTATTGATTTATCAATGTTAAAAAGTAATAAGAAAGAAGAAGAAAAGGAAGAAAAAGTTGAAATTAATCAAGAAAAATTAGAGCTTCTAGTTTCAATGGGATTTGATGAAACACAAGCAAAAACAGCATTAACAATAACAAATAATGATATAGAAGAAGCAATAATAAAGTTAACTAGTGGAGAAATTAAAGAAATAGAAGATACCGTAACAGATAAATATAGAGAAGGAATAGCCATGATGAAAGACATGGGATTTGATGAAGAAATTAGTCGAAAAGCACTTGAGAAAACAAAAGGTGATATTGAACAAGCTATTATATTTGCAGCAACAAGAGATGAAGAAAAAGAAAATAAGATGGAAGAAGAAGATAATGATAGAAGTGGAAAATATGAACTTATTGGATTTGTGTCACACATTGGAGCAAATGTTAATTGTGGACATTATGTATGTCATATGAAACAAGGGGATGAATGGATTATGTTTAATGACAATAAAGTTTATCAATCTCAAAATCCACCATTTACAAGAGGATATCTCTATCTCTATAAGTCAATAGAATAAAATAAGACAATCCTTTTTTAAATTTTAAATTATTAGAATATAACAGAAAGAAAGAGAATAAAAAAGTCAAAGAAAAGAATTGATAAGTCAAAAAGAAAAGGTCTATTTGAAAATAAATAATGAATGAAAATGAAATACGAATACTTATATTACGATCACATATTGGAGGAAAAAAATGTTGGTTTGAACTTGCTAAAAATTGGAATAAGTATGGAACATATAAAATAGTAACAATATCTATGATTAGTTCACCATTTTCATATAATGATTTAATAAGAATCATGCCAGATATAATTGTATGCAGTGATACCGCAGGGTCACCAAGTTATTTTACTGTGGATGAGTCATTTTCATTAAAGCAATTTATCACAAAAATGCCATGTAGAGGAATTATTGGGACATATGCATGTTTTTATCATACTGAAGGTTTTGGTAGTTCATTACGTATTTTTGATAATAGACAAATTGCACCATTATTTGGAATTTCTGATGATATAGTTTTTATATCATCAAAGTTGAATGATAATATTCTTCATAGTAATTCTTCATCTCCATATCTCTATAAAAATATAGGTGATTTGCATAAAATTGGTGGTTATCAATCAACAAAAACTCCAAAAACAGGAAGTTGGTTAAAAGATAATAAAGTCATTGGATTATTACCAAATGCATCATTATTATATCATACTCTTGACTATAAAAGTATTATTGTACATTATCATAATAAACATTATCATTCTTTATATATCAGTTCTATGCCTGAATTTTCATCTCAAAGAACATCTTCTGATATTCTTTTAATTTATCATTGTCTAGTGTCTTTATTTCTTCAATCTAAACAAAGTCGTTTATTATCTTTATCACTTAAGTCAATCAGTGAGCATCCTACTATTCTTTATGACCAATTAATTACTAATAGATCCCTTGAAAAACTTCCACCTTATCTCCAGTCAAAAGTTTTATCTATTCTTAATGGTCAAATCCATTTCAATAAAGATGATATTAATTATCTTTCTTCTTTCAATTTCCCTTTCTTAAAACAACCTTTTCAAAATGGAAGTCCTCATCGTTCCTCTACTTCTTCTTTATTAATTTAACTTCTCTTTTATTTTCTTACACTCTTTTCTCATCATGTATGATTTCCTTCATTCATTATTATTGTATATTCACACTTTTTATTATCCTATTTCTTCAAAAAAAACTTTAGTACATAACTATTCTTATTTCTTTTTGTTTTATTTATAATCTCATTCACTTCTTTCCACATTTGTGACTCATCAATCTTTTCATTCCATCTTATTCCCATTATTACTTTATAACATATCTTTATACTATTACTGTCTATATTTTCGATTTTGATTATAACATGCTCTATGATACATTTTCAAGAGAGAAAACAACTCCATCAAATCAACAGATTAACGGTAAAGATTCTCGACATTAACAAATTGTCGAATGCTATTTATTAAGTCATATCTAAAATTAAATGAAACAGTGCCATAACTAAGACAAATGTTTTATTCTTAGTTAAGTTAGTACCTGATACTATAGAATTACATCTTCTGTAATCAAAGTGTAATGATAAGAAAAACACTTGTTAATTATCGTTGATGAGGAAGAAAACTAGATATTAATTCTAAAACTTAGAAATTAATTGACGAATTGACAATGTCATTATTTTTATTAAAGTTAATACAAATGAAATAATACAAATTAATATTAAAGTCACATATTCATGAGAATATTACATACACATTGTTAATTGTTCAAACTGTCACTAACTCAACATTTGGTTAAACTATATCAATATGTTAATTCTAATTAAAGTCACTCTCATCAAAAGGACTATCAAACATTATTTATGAAACTAAATGTCATTCTTAATTTGTAAATAAATAAGTTATTATAATTAAATGAATTTTTATTCATTGTTTTATTAGAAA